TGGGCTTAACACCTACTACAAGAACTCAGAATAAAATACAATTTCTGAGAATGCTATTATATTTCAAAGCAACGAAGTGTATTTTAACATGCAGCACATTATTCTGTTTATGAAGTCATAAAAACACTCCATGTGTTTCAGAGCAAAAGGAAGTCTGCTTTTAAAATGTTCTCAAATGCTCATTGAGTTTAACAACAGTATAACAAATGCTTTGGGCTTGTCTGTTTGGGCAACAATTCTGTAGGTGAAACCCTATCATATCACCATTGCTTGGCATTCCTTTTGTATGGCACTGTTTGGCTTACAGTATTTTTTAAAATGAAATTTGAATTTTTTTTCTAGCTTTGAACTTGGCTGCCTTACAGCTCCCCCATAATTATTCTTTCTTACTGTACAGTCTCGACATTTCACTTCATAATAGACGCTGCATATCCTCTTTATTCCTTGTGTATTCATAAATTAAAACAAACACTTATTAAGCATCCAAATTACTTATTCACGCATGTCGTACTTAGTGTCATATATGCCATATTGCAATATTGTTCAATTGATCGTTTGGGACAAATCGAGCCCATTCTGTCAGTAGAGCAAGCAAACAACAAGGAATAACAAGGAGCAGATATCATTTCGTAATACAATCAAATTGTCAAGTCACGTTACGTTATGGTGAGCACGTAATGCAAATGTCACTGTACCTGATGTACAACATTATGTTTTTTTCTCACCTTTCCATTGCCAGTTCCATTTCGAAGGTATATATCGTCCCCAGGTCGACATGAAACACATGCAACATTTTGACGACGTTTCTGCCTTCTTGGTGCTTTTCACTGTCGTTAAAATGAGCAAATGCCAAGCAGTTCAAAGGATATTCTGCAAAAATGTAGTTGAATATGTCTTCGGCAGGAATGCCCAAGAAAACAACGACAAAACAGCCAAGTTTTCATCATTTTCCCTTTGAATGGTAGCGTTCTTTCCCTGAGGGACTCTCTTCCTTCATTTCAAATGATTGTTTCTACGAAAACAGGAAACCATTGTGTCATTTTCGTCGACTCTCCACAGAAATGTCGATGACTTCACTGTCTCTCTCTTGCAAAGCCATAACATCACGCATATGAGCATGCGTGACAGTTTTGTCTGCTGGCCAGTAAAAAGCGGGGGGCTGGGGTAGGGGGTGGAAACAAAACCACGTTACAACAACGTTTTTTCCCCCTATTTATTTCATCATCTTTTATTACACATTTATTTACAAAAAAAATTGCGAATTATCTAGGCAAACACTCCTAACCCTCCTACAAAAATTTAAATTAATTTGAATTTAATCAATTGCTGAATTAATTTATTTGAGTTTACAAAAAAAAATGCAAAGGAATATTTAGATGTGTACCTTGACCCTCTATCTCTCAATATAGTGGTATTTAAATTTCTCAAACCTCCAAGGGAAACAAAAAAATATCATTTTTGAGAAAAAAGAATGCAGAAGATATCGCTGGTAAAATTACAGGGAAGCAAATCGAAGGTAAACAACTTTAGAAGTTGCGAGAAATCAAGGGTTTGAGAAATTAAAGGGCAGGGCTAATACGTGGACCAGATCAATGCAGATCACTGATCTTATGTAAAATCATCAATTTAAATGAGAATGAAAACCATTCAGGATACATTATGCATAATTTGTCAAGTTGTGAATCCTGCTGATGTCCCGCCAAATTCTCAGAGCTAACAATTGAATTTATATTTTATATTTATTTCAAGAAAAATCTCAGATGAAAAATGTTTGCTTAAAAATGTAAAAAATATCTTATATCCTAGCTATATAATTTACACAACAACAACAAGTAATATCCTTACACTGTGAAAATATGTTGTTTCAAGGTTGTTGAATGAGATTTGAGAGACAACAAGAATATACTTTGTACTAATTAACATAGTTTATGTAATGTATCATGACAATTATGTGGATATGTAAATTAAATTATGGATTACTGTTAATGTGTACATTATGATTACTGCCAAAGCTCTATTGATCCCGTGGCAGGTGGAAAGGGTGGGGTACAGAGGTGCCTTATTTCCTGTCCAAATCTTTTGGAAGCAACAAAAGCCTTCAGTTTCAACCCATAAAATTAAGACATACTTTTTCAAAGTTTCCCAATAGAAATTTAATCTTGTTGATGAATAACTTTAAAAACACTAATTTACTACACCGAGTGCAAAATTATAGTTTTCTAAAAATTGTCATGGCGTATCTTTTAGAGAAAGGAGTGATAATAGAGCTTTCTTCTGTTGAAATATTCTAAGTAAAACTTTGATTAAGTATTACAAAAACTATGAGCTTATATTTCTGACTGGTAGTGCTCTATATTCTAGTTTCATGTGATGAAAGGGGTCAGACCATTTCTCTTGTGTTGCCACATATTGATGCTACCTTCCCAATGCTTGTCTATTGTTGATGAGCTTAACCACTAAAAGTGATACATTTTCTCTGGTATTTATAGAGGAGTTGAGTTTAAAGAAGAACATGTTTTATATACTATTTTCAGTTTGCCCTGGGCTAAAGAAATAAAACTATTGGGAAATCAGAGAGACATGATGACCCACCTACTTCAATTTTTTTGCATAAAGAATACTCAGCCATTGGGTAAATGGCCTAGTGAAATAGTAACAACAAAATGCACACTCTGCTTGGCTTATTTGTGACTATGACAAAATGTTGAATACTGTAACATTGGTAACATTACTGTCTCACTTTGTGTTCTTTTAAAATTAACTATGGGCAAAATTTTATTTTGACCTATTGGTATTTTCTATTGTTTCTTCTTTAAATATTTTCCTTAGGTTTGTGTAAGAATCAAATCTCCAGTGTCTTTGGCACTTCCCATGAGAAGCCAGGCTTGAAATGGCCAAAGACACTAGTTTCTTTGAAAATGGGTTTACGCAAATCTAGATCCCTGATGATTGCTCCAGGTCTGAGATCAAAGTTATTCAGGATAATCTTTAAAAGTTCATTATCAGGAATTTCGCCACTGCCATAGCTGAAAACGGACACAGACAAAGGCTCAGCAATACCAATTGCATAGGCTACTTGCACTAAAACACGCTTGCAAAGCTTTGCTGCAACCAATGACTTTGCAATCCACCTGCAGGCATAACTTGCTGACCTATCCACTTTTGTGGCATCTTTGCCTGAGAATGCACCACCCCCGTGTGCACCCCACCCACCATAGGTGTCTACGATAATTTTGCGGCCTGTGAGACCAGCGTCTCCCATGGGACCCCCATAGAGAAAGATCCCTGAAGGTAGCAGATGGAAAATGGTGTTCTCATCAAGGTATTGTTCAGGAATGACACCTTTTATGATAGTCTCCTTTAAATGGTGTCGAATTTCTTCCACAGGTACACCCTCTGCATGTTGGCTGGAGATCAATACAGTGTGAACTCGCTGTGGTATGCAGGCTCCACCTTGCAAACTGTATTCCACAGTCACTTGTGTCTTGCCATCGGGTCTAAGCCAAGGCAAAGTTCCATCCACCCTGCAATCTGTTAGTTGTTTCGTCAGTTTGTGGGAGAGTACCGTTGTTAAGGGCATTAGTTCTTCAGTTTCATCTGTTGCATATCCAAACATCAAGCCCTGGTCACCTGCCCCAATCTCTAATTCTTTCTTGTCCAAGTACACGCTCCGAGCTATCTCGCCAACTTGCTCTTCAATCGAAAGCAAGACACTGCATGTTTTGTAATCAAAACCTTTGGAAGAATCATCGTATCCGATTTCTTTAACAGTGTTCCGTATAACGCTTTGATAGTCGACTCTCGCTCCAGAAGTAATCTCGCCAAAAGCCATAATCATTCCAGTTTTGGTTGCAGTCTCGCAGGCGACTTTGGCATACGGGTCTTGTTCCAAGTGCGCGTCTAAAATCGCATCAGATATTTGATCGCACATTTTATCAGAATGCCCACGGCAAACGGACTCAGACGTGAAAAGAAATTCGCTCCGATCGCTTGTGCTGTACGCACCGCTAACATACGACCGTGAGCAGCTTGCAGCAGGAGCAAACTTGGATGATATCAGGCGAGCCAGCATCTTTGCCCTTGAACTCAACATGATTGTAGCGTAAAAAATAGTATTAGTAAAGGTGTTTGTCTTCTCGTGACTAAAGTGCTATAAACTCTTCAGCCAGCAGATCTTTTCGTACCTTGCAGAGCCTTGCGTAAATAATGGCATGGTGGTGCAATCGGGCGATTATCACAGGGAATCGATACCAGATCGCGATCAACAGTTTATTAAATTCCACGCGCAATATTTCGAGAACAACACGAAATCAGCTTTTAAATTTTTTTTTTTTAATTCATAATGATCTTAATCGGTAATCAATATTAATTATTCAAACATTTATGAGATCCAATATAGGATCGTTGATTAGTCGGATAACTCCGTAGCCCTTTGGAAATCCGATCTTGGATGTCGGAAATTCTCGTAAAACTACAACCGAATTTCATTTCCGCTGCAAAATGGAAGCAAGACGACAGTCCTTAGTTATTGAGTCTGACCATCATTCTTCATCGCAAACCTTATGGCCCCTTCGGCAAGCGCTCTACGCCGAATCTGAGGACGACGATGAAGAGAACGAAGACGAATTATCGCGAACTTGGTGGGTAAAAACTCGTTGGTTTCAGCGTCTAGTACAAGTATGTGCGCTTGTCAGTTTGACTTCTACAGCCATGAATTCGCCAGAAACATTTAAACATAACAATTCGCTGAGATACATAACTCTTGGCCTAGACATTGTGGTCGCTGTTGTTTTTACCACTGAAATGATCGCGCAGATAAACATGTGGGGTCTGTGGCGAAAACAGAAGGCTTACTTCAAGAAACCACAGTCTATTTTTAATGCAAGCATGGTTTTCCTTATAATGCTATCGATCTTGCTACAAATTATTGAAATTTCTGGCTATATCCCTGATAATTACGTAGCATTTTCGGTTCCAAGAGCCCCAAGAGCGTTAATAATAGTTCGGTTCTTCAATGTGCTTATTACAATCAGCTTGCCGAAGTCGGTGGCTCGACGCTGTAAACGGCAAATCTGGGCCGTCACTCTGTTCTTGTTGTATTTTATGGCGTTCGGTTCGATTATTGGAGTTCAATTATTCGGACGCAAAAACTATTACTGTGTCAAGAATGGAGCTGATTTGAATAATCTGACATACAACGATCTGTTATTGACTGACCATCGCTGCAACAATGTTACCGGCGAAACAGGATATTTCTGTCCACAAGGGTTTAGCTGTGTTTTTGTGGATTTTGAGGAGAAGGATAAAGATTATTTCGGGGACTTCCTGCTAAGTATTTTAACAGTCTATGAAAGTTCTACACAAGAAGGTTGGGTTCTCGTCATGTACCGAATGATGGACTTTCGATCGCATCCCCTAGTAATCGTTTATTTTGTGTTGCTCATTTTTTTCGTCGCGTGGCTTGTAAAGAACGTCTTCATCGCCGTGGTGTCGGAAACCTTCGCCGATATTCGGAGCCTGTATATGTACAGTCGGAAATCTTCGAAGCGTACTTCGGCTCGGCTGGCCTCTCAAGTTATCAAGGACGCAGGAACCGGTTGGCATTTAGTCTCGGTGGATCACGAAGCGGCTAAAGGCCATGCACCATTGCGTGTTCGACAGATTGTTAATTCTATTTACTTTAAATACACAATGATCTTATTTGTTGTGGTTGACGCTTTTGTTCAAGCTACTGTCCATTACGAATCAAGGAGATACGCGCAATTTGGGTTCACCATAGTTTTCGACCTTGAAGTTTTCCTGAAGATCTCATGTATAGGCTTTCGACCCTACCTTCTCCGTAGAATGCAGCTAACAGAGTTTATTTTAGCTGTTGGCAGCACTGTTTTCGCTCTACCAATTCTGATCTCGGAGAAAGCGTCTTTTCTGGCTGTCTTTAACGTGATGCGAATAATCCGACTTATTGGAGCGATTCCCAAGCTTCAAGAGTTTTGCGAGAAAATCTTCGGAACTGGAAAGAAACTTGGAAGTGCTATCGTGTTTACGTTGATTTTTGTGATGGTCTCCTCCGTGATAAGCATGCAGTTCTTTCTGACTTTAGATGTGAAGAGGTTTGGTACCTTCACTAGCTCCATACAGTCCATGTTTCAAATCATTACCCAGGAAGGGTGGGTGGAAGTTCTGGATGACTTAATCAACGCAACTACGAACTCAGCTGCAAAGGCTTTTGTTGCCATCATAATCTTGGCAAATCATCTTTTCTCCTCGCTGATTATCATGAGCGTTTTTGTTGCAGTTATCCTAGACAACTTGGAACTTGACGAAGAGGTGAAGATTATGAAACAGAAAAAAATGGGCGGTGAAAGCCGAGAATCCACCGAGGAACTTCCGTTGCGTCTTCGGGTCTTCGAGCGTTTTCGGGATGACCCTCGGCTTGTGAAGTTGAGTAGGATAAAGACAACAGCTGATTTTTCCACTCCCAAGATTCGTGACAGTTTTATGAAGAAGTACATAGACAGTTCGGGCTTGGAAACTCACATTGGTGTGGACGTGGGGGAGAAAATCGGTGAAACTTCGCAGTTGAGAAGACGCCGCACAGCAATTCCGATAAAGCTGTTAAATTCGACGATATCCGAAGTGGATAAACTTTCAAAGTTCGTGAGAAAACAATCGAGTATCACTGCGCTTATTAATGACAGCAATCGCCGAAGGACCTACGCGCTTCTTTCGCCCACCGAAATCTCCCCGAGAAATCAGGCCACCGTCGGCAGTAAGCAGCAGCCCGCTTCGGTTTTCCGATCTGCTTCGAGGCGTTTTCGAAGTCGCCCTCCACCGTCACCGAAGCAAGCTCAAGGTGATGTCAAACAAGTGATGCGGATTGCCAGTCAAGCGACGGGTCTTCACTCGCAGTTAAGCCAAGATGAAAATAACACGGGCCGAGACTTTGACATCCAGTGGGTGCGAATAAAACGCGAAGAGGCTCAGAGGAAAAAGAGAGCTCAAGTCGAGAAGCTTCGTGAGAATCACCCCTACTTTGACCAGCCCCTCTTCTCGCTACAGCGTGACTCGTGGCTCCGAAGGTTTCTACAGAGCATGGTAAACGCGCGTTACATCATTCCACCCGGGTACACAGAGCGAGCGTCACGCAATCATATTGTCACGATGGCACGGCTTCACAAGGTTCTCGCGTCACAGACGTACCTGGAGTGGATTATGATCGTTGTCACGCTAGTGTCATCCATATCTATGATGCTAGAGACTCCTACAGAGCGCACGTTTGTCAGGCCTGCAACAGAAGTCATTGAGTACATCTTTGTTGTTGCCATGAGTTTGGAGCTTGGCGTAAAAATTCTTGCAAACGGTTTGATTTTCACACCTCATGCCGTTATACAGAACTTTGGAGGTGTTCTGGACGTGACCATATACCTCGTGGCACTTGCCTATGTTGCCTGGCAACCACATCCGATACCCGCCCGCTCGGGGGCTCAGGTGTTGATGGTATTAAGGTGCCTTCGTCCCTTACGTATCGTCACATTGGTCCCGAAAATGCAGAAGGTGATCCTTGAACTGGTTGGTGGCTATAAAGAAATTCTCAAAGTAACTGCCGTGCAGTCTATTCTTATGTTCATTTTCGCCAGTTACGGTGTCCAGGTTTTCTCTGGCAAGTTCAGAAGCTGCAACGATCGAAGTATTAAGACCGAAGAGGAGTGTACAGGAATATTTGAAATAGAAATTGCCACGCCTCGCGAATTACGCGTCGTCGCGGAATCTTCAAAAATGATGGTCCCACGCGTGTGGAAAAATCCCAGGAACTTCGACTTCGATAATGTTATCAACGCATTTCTAGCCCTGTTCGAAGTTCTTTCCTTGGAAGGCTGGTTGGAAGTGCGAGATGTGATCCAGGCAGTCGTAGCCCCGGAATACAGTATTTATGTCCATATTTACGTGCTTCTTGGAAGCATGGTCGGGCTGACCTTGTTCGTCGGGGTGATTGTCATGAATTTCAATGAGAACAAAGGCATTGCTTTACTCACTGTTGATCAGAGAAGATGGCAGGATCTGAAGAAGCGCCTCCGACTGGCGCAACCTCTCCATCTTGCCCCTAGACCAAGGAAAGAAGGTTTTCGAGCCGTTTTGTTCGACGCCACGCAGTCAAGGATCTACAAAGTTATCGACATCTGTTTGGTGGTAATTACTTGCTTGACAGTCACGATCGCTCAGTGGACTACAGAGGACAATCTGAGAATGCGTGACGCGCTGACCAGTACTGCAGCTGTGTGCTCGCTGTTGTTCGTTGTGGACATGTTGCTGAAAATTATCGCTTTCACCTTCCGAGGATACTGGCAAAGCCGGAGAAACCGGTTTGACCTGTTCTTGACCAGTCTCGGGGTACTGTGGGTGACGCTGAATTTTTCCTTAAAAGGGAGTGGTACGCCATATACAGTGACTACTTTTTTCGGGATGGTGATCATATTGTTCCGCTTCTTGACGCTCTCAGGTAAACACGACACGCTCAAGATGCTGATGTTGACTGTGGTCATGTCGCTGATAAAGAGCTTCTTCATCATCGCTGTTTTGATCGTTCTAATGCTCAGCTACTCTTTGGCCGGGGTGATCTTGTTCGGAACAGTGAAGTATGGAGAAGCGTTGAACCGTCACGCCAACTTCAAGACTAGCTTTAACGCCATGATCCTTCTGTTTCGCATCACAACTGGAGAGGACTGGAACAAGATAATGCACGACTGTATGCTTTCTAAGCCTTACTGCACGGAAAATGCGGACACACCCAACTTCTGGCAAACTGATTGTGGCAACATCGCCGCGGCGCTGATTTATTTCATCTCGTTTTACGTCATCGTGACTTTTGTATTCTTGAACCTTTTCATCGCTGTCATCATTGAGAATTTTTCGTTGTTCTACTCGAGCGATGAAGACTCGCTCATCAGCAACACAGACCTAAGAGACTTTCAGCTGACTTGGAACTTAGTGGATAAATACCGTAAAGGGGTGTTATCAGTTAGGCAAGCTAAGCTTGTGCTTCGCTTGCTGAAAGGCCGCTTAGAAGTTGACAGTGGGTCGCTGTTGTTCAAACACATGTGCTGCGAGATTGAAAAGCTTCGGAACGGCTGTGATGTTTCTTTTCACGATGTTCTAGGCGTGCTAGCTTACCGTTCGGTGGACATCAGTCGAAGTTTGCAACTAGAAGAGCTTCTCGAGCGAGAAGAACTGGAATATCAGATCGAGGAGGAAGTGGCCATACAGACCATCCGTGATTGGTTCACCAACCTGCGCAAGAAGCGGGCCGAGCGGGAATGGATCCGACATTTAGAGCAAGGTGGCATTCCATTGGCTGGAGGTATCCAACTGTCTGATAAAAGCCCTGGGGCCTCAAGCGCGGAGAGCTTAGAACACTCAGCTAATGAAGACCCTGAGCGTGAGGAGCGTGATACCGAACGCGAGGCTCGAGAACACGACAGTAGCGAAGATGACGATTTTCCAGTGTCGCCTTCTTCCAAAGGACCAGCTATTCTCCTTTCTGCTCCGCCGCCAGCCAAGAAAACGGAACGAAGTAATTCCGCGTCTCGTAAGAGTTCTGTTACGTTTCCCGATGAATTGTCGATGTCAGCAAAACGACGAAGCCTACCGGAAGCCCTGACTAATCTGAAAACACGAAAGAAAAGTATTCCCGAGATAAAGGAGTTCGCCGGAGAGGTTCGTGATTGGTGGACGACTCAGATGAATGACGGGCCCTGAAAGTTCCTGATTGGTGGACTGATCAGGTGAATGACGTGATGCACCTGTTAGGTCTGTGACTGGTAAATGATTTAATAGAGCGGTTTACAATTGAGTGTCACAAAACCAAAACCAAAGTAATCACTCTAGCCAATCACAAAGAACACAGATAATACCGTTAACCAATCAAAACTTCAAGTAATTACGTGTAGCTGACGCGAAACGACGGAAAACGAGTGCGAACGAGTCGTGGTAGGTTTTGGTTTTACCTCTGATTAGATGAAAAAGTGGCGCGAATATTTTTAAGTCAATCGTGTAGCGTAGGGGATGCAAAACCAATTACTTTTCGACACTCAAATGAAAACAGTTGGGCTCTAGAATCAATAATTTGGCGAAACGTTTACACAATAGAGCAATAGGTGTTATTGCAGTTATCAGAGGTTTGACATACAAACGAGGCAAAAGGGTCCATTCTGCTCTGTGTTGACCCTCATCGCCTCGTTTGTATGGCTTTTTAAACAGTGGAATATTTGACCACAGACTCAACTGTAATAACAGCTATTTCTCATGCCTATCCATAAACTCAATCAAATTTAACACGGACACCACTGATATGGATTGTGGACAGTTTCGGTATCAAAAACAAATGGCAAATAATGGTAAATAATGGCAGCTTGTAATATCCGCACCCC